GGGACCACTGCCGAAGCGACGACGGGTCCCGCAGTGAACGTAGGCAGCACCGGCGCAGCGTTTGTAGGCACGCTGAATTCGATTTACTAACCGCGTGCTTGCATGCTAAGTCTCTTTATTTCAGGTGGTGGGTTTACAGTTTTTACCTTAATGCTTTTCTTTCTCATATAAATATCTCCCTGTACTCTATTTCATTAACTTGCACACATCGCCTAAGCCAATTGTATTCGATTTCCATAACATGTTTGCGTTCGTGGCATTCCGTGAACTATACTTCCTGACCTCGTGCACTTAGCTAGGATTTGTTTGTAATCAACTTATTACATATGCTATTTAATTAAGGTTTATATCACCGTTTCATTATGCATTATTCGAGTTTTTCCCTTTTTCTTTCTCTCTCTCTCAAGTGTTTGGCTGTTGTTTGATATCCCCGGTGTGGATGCGCTTGATGTGCATGTTGACAAGGTGCCTACCTGTCTATTACCCACTTCCTCGTCCATACTGGCTATATGAGACAGTCGGTCGTTGCTGGAGGGGACAGGGTGCACGGTCCTTGTGACCGTGTTAGGATCATAGAGTGGTTCCATGCAGTCAGTGTGGAGCGGACTACGGTCCAGCCACCGCCTTGTGTGCGCTTGATTCCCAAATACAGTGTGCTTGTGTTTGCCTGTGAAGGAGTGTGGGCCGGCTCCGTTGATGAAACGTGGTTCCCATCTGCATGCCTCCCGGTCTTATTCCTTCGGGTTTACACTGGATATGGGGTGTGTGGTTGGAGCTGTGGGTGGTGCAGCGAAAGCCATCCATGGTCCCTCTGTAGGCGCAGGCGTCCTGTGGCTTGCCACAGTGACAGGCAAATCCGAAACCGGATGCCGCCAACCAAATGTATGTATGTATGTATGTGTGCCCCTTGCTGAGGCTGATGTTGCATTCATGATGCTACTTCACCGCAGTTGGGCTAAACCAACTTATACTTAAACTAGGTCTTTTTAATGTGGATAAAATTCGTTACATGTTATTTGGTTTGTTCTGCGTACTTGATAATCTTCTCCTTACTTGCACACGTCGCTCACGCAAATTGTGGTAAACTTGCGTACTTTTATCGCGTGGTATTTTTTAAATGACTTTCGGACATTTTGTACTTATCACGGATTCACTTATAACCGACTTCTTCTATATGCTCATTTAGCGAGTATTTATGTCGTCGTATGCGTTTACTTTAATCGATATCGGCATTTCGAATGATTGGCTGTTGTTTGACATCCCAGGTGTAGCTGGGCTTGATGTGCATGTTGACAAGGTGCCTACCTGTCTATTACCCACTACCTCGTCCATATTGGCTCCAGGAGACAGTTGGTCGTTGCTGGAGGGGACGGGGTGCACGGTCCTTGTGGTCATGCTAGGCTCGAAGAGTGGTTCCATGCAGTCAGTGTGGAGCGGACTACGGTCCAGCCACCGCCTTGTGTGCGCTTGATTCCCAAATACAGTGTGCTTGTGTTTGTCTGTGAATGATTGTGGGTCCGCTCCGTTGATGAAACATGGCTCCCATCCACATGCCTCCCGGTCTTATATTTATTTATTTATTTATTTATTTATTTATGCATATATATACATATATATATATATATATTCTCTGCTCCATGTACTACTCCATTGGAAGGGCACTTTTACTTTTTGTTACGGCCATGCAAGATTTATCTCGGGGTTTCGTGTTTGTTAACTGTTAGCATTTTCACAAGGCGAGATATGAACAAATTCTCAACTTTCCTCCGCAAGCCATCGAATTCTCAATTATTTCTTTTAGAGTTATTGAGAATTAGTTTGTCTGTTACGCCTGGCTCTTAAATCGCCTACTATGTAACACCTGACCAACATCTCAGAATCAAGAGCCACGCATGTTATCACACCACCCTCCGGTCAGTACTGATTGCATTAGACACATATCATACGTAACGCAGTGAACAAGTTACCGCTTACTCATGTGTTTTCAATGCTTATCGGTATCATCTGGTCGGTTGTTGTACTGTTCTCGTAGATATCTGGAGACCAGTCTTTGATCGATCAGAGGTTCCAGTAGGAACTGACTGTCTTCTGGGATGTAAAGTTGCCGACCTCTTGTTCCGGCCATGGGTTGCTTTATTACTGGCGGTGGTGGTGGATCATAAATATAGGCTGGAAAATCGTCACTGTCACGAGAAAGCATGTTAGTCCACTGTCGTATGTTACGATTCTCGGTCACCTGTCCATATGCTGACATAGAGGGCCGCTCATGGTTTGTCACTTCCTGAGCATACATCTGCTCTGTCTGCCAAGGGAAGCTAATGTCATGTTCTCGCTTTACCACGTCAGTTTGCACAAGCGCTCGTCGAGAAATAGGTTTGGCGAATGCTTCGGCAGTTTTTCCCACACCGTGTACGTACTGTTGAAAAGTAGGCATCGTCTCTTGTGCTCTGGTTAACTCCTCATCTTGACCAAGTGATCGGCGCATTTGTCCGGAGACTGTTATGACGAGCTGTTCATCCTTTGTGGTCGCATCTTGAGAATACGGTTGTTCACTATGACCGGTCGGGAGCATGATACGCTGTTCCCCATTCGCCCTGATCTCTTGAGGATGCGCTCCTTGAGTACGCTGTAGAACGCGTGTGTTTGGCCGTTCAGCAGTTATTATCTTGCCATGGATGTAAACTTCTCCTGTCCGTTCAACGACAGGCATGAGGTTTTGTTCTCTAACCGCCATTTTATCCTTAACAAGCTCCCGCCATATTCCTCCAGATGGGGGTATCCCTGGTCCGCCGTCAACCGATGTACTCAAGCCATACACTCGTTCTGGTTGCCGAGCCTCGGTAGTGCATACGTCCCTACGACAGGAACCCGTTTGGTGCTGAAACAGAATGTTTCAAAAATGTAAAATAGCACTTTGATTTCAATGTAAAACTGTCCTTCAGATACCCCCGGGAACATGGGCTCAATTTTCCGACAGTCTCATATCCGGTGTTAACTTATTTGACTCGAAATTAGTACTTGAGGCACTAGCACTTGGACCAAAATTTTGTTTTTCTCAGCCTTAGTATGGACAAATTCATCTGGAGACCCAGTTTGAAAACTTGATGCGACAACTAAACGAGCTAACACCTACGTCGTCACTTGCCAGATACTTTCAAAACCACTTTGGTTCATATTTCGCAGCAGTATATGAGTTACAAAACCAAATCTTCTAACGTCCTGACTAAGAAGCACAGAGAAGCCATCAAGGAATTAAGATAAAATCCTGATTTAATTATATCTAGACCCGACAAAGGCTCCGGATGGGTACTGATGGATAGATGCGACTACCTTTCTAAAATGCAATCCATTTTGCAAGATAAGAGTAAGTTTTTTTGTGAAACGGTACAGAAGGATAAAACCGCGCAGGATGAGTTTAAAATCATTCAAGTGTTAAAGGAGTTGAAGCGTATGAACCAAACAGATAGCGTGCTACTGGAACAGCTAACGCCAGTGGGCTCCCATCCTCCACGTCTTTGTGAACTACCTAAAGTACATAAGCCACAAGTCCCTCTGCGTCCGATAATCGACATGTCAGCCTCAGCTACTCACTTGGTTGCGAAATGGCTTGCGGGTTTGCTCGAACCAGTACGCAAGGAGTTATGAACATACACCGTGAAAGACACAATTGAATTTTTGAAACGAGTAGAATGCATGAAAGTAAATGACAAATTGATACTCTCTCTGGACGTTGCGTCACTTTTTACGAATATTCCATTGATGGAAATTGTCAATTTTATGTGTGATTACATGAATGAAAAGAACATAGATGTGGGTATTCCGGTGAGGAAACTGAAGTAATTAATTTTACGGTGTACTTTCAACAGACAATTTTTAAATAATGGAGTCTACTACAGACAGATTGACGCGTGTCGCGACGGGGTCCCCCCTAGGACCACTCCTTGCTGATATTTTCCTCACTATGATTGAGCGTGAAGCTATACGACCCATCATCGCTTCGTTTGATTTCTATTGTCGTTATATGGATAATATGTATATAATCTGCGATTCAAACACCAATGTTTCCAACCTGTTAAACCAGTTAAACCGTGTTCATCTATCGTTGAAGTTTATTATTGAAACCGAAAGAGATGGTAAGCTAGCCTTCTTGGACGTGTTGCTAAGCCGAAGAAATGATGGTTCATTGGAAAAAAGTGTATTCCGGAAGGCCACTTGGGTAGGCCGAAATGCACATTTTCTGAGCTTTGTACCCTTGACGTAAAAACGTAATCTCGTCCGCTGCTTGTATTTTCGTGCTACGAAAATTTGCAGCCAAGAGACGCTGGAGGCCGAAAAGATCCGTATTCTCACAATGTTTCAAGATAACGATTATCCGACCCCATTTAGCAAAAATTATGCAGCGATCCGCGATAGCCCTGAAGTGATTACTACTGTACCTAAGAAGGACGTATTGCTGTCAGTTCTCTTTAAAGGCGATGTTGCCTTTGATCTGTTGACCAGAAGGATTTCCACTGCAGTGGCTAGAACCTTCCCAGCCGCTTGCCCACACGTCCTTGCGGAAACGGCCCCCTTTATAGCCAAGCGCATTAAAGATAGACTTCCGGTTCAGTCCCAAGCTTACATTTTATATCAGTTTACCTGCGCCTGTGGTGCGAGGTACGTGGGACACACAACCGGGCGTCTGCCTACACGCATTGCGGAACACTGCCCAGCGGCTTTGCGGAAAGGCGTCGTCAGTCGCCCCAACAGTTCCATCCTGGGACATCTGGTGGAAAGCGGACACCGAATTAGGACCGCTGATGCCTTCCAAGTACTTTATGTAGTAAAACCACGGTACACTAAAGGGCTTAGAAAGCAAATCTTACGGACGGCCGAAGCGATTGCGATTAGAATATTGCAACCGGAATTATGTAATCAGAAGGCCTTGCTGCAAGGGCTTCTTCTACCCTGGCCCTAGTTAGCTCACTAATTTTTACCACTCCAGGCGTCTACAGTGGTCGGATGATGCACTTGGCATTCCACCGATCAACTAACACGTGTTTTGTCACATGTGTTGTTAACGGATGTTATTGATCAATACTTTTGAGTTTCTGTTTGTCGTGATTCCACTATTCCCACCACTTTGGCTTCATCAGCCGTTTGCTTTGTGCTTTTCCATTTTATGTTTGTAAATGCCTGAGGAGATTTATCGAAAAGAGTACTCTTCGCAACGTTGTGTTCTTGTATTTCCGTGGGTATAATCTACGGACTTCTGTGTAGCTATCGAAAGTGCAAGTTACGGGCTCTGTGGTTGAAATTTTTTTAATCAGATTTGCAGAACGATATTTATCTTACTCATTTTTGCCATTTATGCTTTAACAGGGTAGCATTTTGGCTGCTGTCGTGAATAGTGGCATCCTCTTATGTTTCATTTCCCATAAATCACTGTGGATTCTCGTCGAGATTAGTTGCAAGTAAGTGTTCTCCTTTAGTTTGTCGCCTTTAATAAAATATTCTATGCGAAAGTCACCGTACTAGAGTAAAAGGTCGTTATAACGAACGCCAGTATAACGAAATATTTAGAATTGCCAAATTATTTTAAACCCATTCCTTTTCTCATTTGATGGGTGTTAAAACATTTCAGTTTAACGGATTTCGAACTTCCAGTATAACGAATGAACATTTCTGCTCTTTGCCTATATGTAACTTCATATTTTCAAAATGTAATTGAAATCTATCCTGTGTTATAGTATAACATTTTCTCATCCATTACTTTATTACTCAGGTGATATGGTAGCCATTTTTCATGCATGTGCCCGATCGGTCGAGCAGCATAGCAATCTGAAGTAACCCATACTTATTCAATTAAATAAGCTTTGCGCATCGTCCAATACACGATGTAACACTATTGGCTAAGTAGGAGCGCAGAGTTTAAAATACACCAGTAAACGGTAGATTTCATTACATGTGCTACGCGGATTATCCTAAAGAGCATACCGAGGAATATCGTGTCGTAACCAACTATGAAGACCTGTCCGACCTAATTGATGCAACAAGCTGGTCGTTCTTAGATGAATTAACCCCTGAGGTGGCCTGCGGTGAATTCGTCAACATATTTACCAAGCTGGTGG